GATGATGATGATGCTGATGATGATGATGATGATGATGATGATGATGATGATGATGATGATGATGATGATGATGATGCTGATGCTGATGCTGATGATGGTGATGATGATGATGATCCCGCTCTCCAAAAGCAGTCGGAGCCGAAACGCTCGCGTCCACCCCCGGGGTCATTGGGCCCCTTCGCAAGGGTTTCCGAGCAGACACACCCCAAACTGCATCAGCTTAACGAGTCCTCGACCCGCCCCGACGCGATGGCCCACAGCCATTTCACATTGCCCAGCGGCCTTGTTGCTGTGGCGGCCATCGCCTCCAAATCGTCGCAGGTGAAGAAGAGCTCGCCTTCCACCAGGGGTGGGGGCACGTCCTCCTCGCCCTCCACATCGAACGGCGACTGCTCCACCACCCCGTCGCAATTCGCAGGCAGGCTGTGGCTGGGGACATCGGGCTCCAACGCGTCGCCGTCCAGCACTCCGTCTCACAATCGGCAGCTCCGCGGCAGCGACGCCCGCGCCCGCGCGCGAGATGGCCGAATCGGGCGGGGACTCGGCCAACTTCCGCGCGGGCGGGGCGCCGCCCTCAGCAGGCCTGCCGTGCGGCTCGAACCCGAGCCTGTCCAGCGTGCTGCGGACCCGCACGAACAGGCCCGTCTCGAATACTCTGCAAGGCGCCTCCCAGCTGCGCAGCTGAGCCTCCACCTCCAGGATGTGGTGCATCATGCGGGCGTCCAGCATCACCTCGCTCTGCAACTTCTTGTCGACGTGCCCCTCCACGTCGTGCAGCACGAACCCGAGGGCCTCGGGCTTCTGCTGCTAGTCCCCCTCGCCGTCCCCCGACACGTGGGCCTCCAGCTCTTTCAGCTTGCCATCGTCGGCGAGCACATCCTCGACGACCCCGTCCGCGCGATCGTCGGCGTGTGCGGTCGACTCGGCCTGCTAGATCGAGAAGCTCAGCTCGGTCAGCAGCACCTCTGCCCGAGCCCACCCCGGCACGTACGACTGGGCGCCTGACCGCAGCGGCGTCCAGGACGAAAGCGGGTGAAAGGGCGCCGCATCGCGGCGCAGCCCAGGCGCCTGCCGCACTCCCAGCCAGCGCCCCTGGCCGCTGAGCGCCAGCGCGGGCTCTGCGACGCAGACCTCCACCTTGATGTCCGCAGCAACGAGCGGCTCGTGCCTCGCCTTGTCGCTGTCGCCCTGGATCTCCATGTCCCAGTGCACGAAGTCCATGTCCACGTCCAGCGTCTTGGCCACCGCGCGCAGCGCATCGCCCAGGCGATGCATGTGGCAGCCAAGTGCGACGTCAGTCCTGTGGTGCAGCAGCAGCGCCTTGCCGAGGCACACGAGGCGATCCTCCAGGGCCGCCGCCAGGGCCTGCGGGGGAGTCAGCTTCGCCACAGCTGCAGTGGCTGCAGCCGCCGCCGTGTCTCAGTCGCGCGCCTGGGCACGCTCCCTGCGCGTCCTGCGCGCCAGCGTGGCCGCCGAGCGTCGGGCCCAGGCCTGCCCACCCAGTGGCCCTGCTCCAGGCGCCGCCCCAGGGGGCGTCCGAGGGCCTCCGAGCAGCCACCATGCTCGCAACGCCCGCCAGGGGGGTTTCGAGCCAGGCTTGAGCCAAAATGGCTACTCACGATGATGATGACGACGACGATGATGATTATGATGATGCTGCTGCTGCTGCTGATGATGATGATGATGCTGATGCTGATGCTGATGCTGATGCTGCTGCTGCTGCTGCTGCTGATGATGATGATGATGATGATGGTGATGATGATGATGATGATGATGATAATGGTGGTGGTGGTGGTGATGATGCTTGATGATGATAATGATGATGATGATGATGATGATGATGATGATGAGGATGCTGATGATGATGATGATGATGATGATGATGATGAGGATGCTGATGATGATGATGATGATGATGATGATGATGATGATGATGATGACGATGATGATGATGATGATGATGATGATGATGATGATGATGGTGGTTGTGACGATGATGATGCTGCTGATGCTGATGCTGATGATGGTGCGGATGGTACAATTGACGCTGATGGTGGTGACAGGTGATGACGATTATGATGCTGATGTTGTTGATGATGGTGATTATTATGATGGTGATGTTGTCGATGATGATATTGCTGTTGTTGGTAATCATGATTGTATAATTAATGATGCTGCCGCTGATGTTTTTCCCAACCATCCTGTGGTGTTGGGTGCTCGTTTTGAAGAGACGTCGCCCCGCGTTCTCCTCCTCTCCTCCTCCTCCCCTCCTGCTACCGTCCGCATGCGTCCCGCACACCCAGTACAGCGTTTCGTGGCCCCATAGGGAGCTCCACCGAAGGTCCCAGTGATACCGTCCGCATGCGTCCCGCACAGCCAGTACAGCGTTTCGTGCTCTCCTCCCCCTCCTCCCTGCGTTTCGCCCACCCAGTACAGCGTTTCGTGGCCCCATAGGGAGCCCCACCGAAGGTCCCAGTGGTACCGTCCGCATGCGTCCTGCACACCCAGTACAGCGCTTCGCGGCCCCATAGGGAGCCCCACCGAAGGTCCCAGGGCTACCGTCCGCATGCGTCCCGCACACCCAGTACAGCGTTTCGTGGCCCCATGGGGAGCCCCACCGAAGGTCCTAGTGCTACCGTCCGCATGCGCCCCGCACGCCCAGTACAGCGTTTCGTGGCCCTCCTCCCCCTCCTCCCTGCGTTTCACCCACCCAGTACAGCGTTTCGTGGCCCCATAGGGAGCCCCACCGAAGGTCCCAGTGGTACCGTCCGCATGCGTCCTGCACGCCCAGTGCAGCGTTTCGTGGCCCCATAGGGAGCCCCACTGAAGGTCCAGCGCTACTGTCCGTTTGCGTCCTGCACGCCCAGAACAGCGTTTTGTGGCCCCATAGGGAGCTCCACCGAAGGCCCCAGTGCCCCCGTCCGCATGCGTCCCAGAAGCTCAATTGGAATTTCATCCACCCAGTGCAGCGTTTCGTGGCCCCATATGGGGGCTCCACCCAAGGCCCCAGTGCCACCGTCCGCATGCGTCCCGGAAGCCCAATTTGGCAGTTCCACCCGCGCAGTGCAGCGTTTCGTGGCCCCACAGGGGGCTCCACCGAAGCCCCCAGTGATACCGTCCGCATGCGTCCCGGAAACCCAATTTGGCACACCACCCACACAGTACAGCGTTCCCCGCCCAGTGCAGCGCTTCGTGGCCCCATAGGGAGCTTCACCGAAGCAGATATCCACAGTTACGGTACCCACAACTGCATATGGTTGGGACCTTCGCCAGGATAATTTGTGTTTTAGATGATGGTGATGCTGATACTGCTGGTGATGATGATGATGATGATGGCGATGATGATGATGATGATGATGATGATGATGATGATGATGATGATGATGATGATGATGATGATGATGATGATGATGATGATGATGATGATGATGATCATGCTGATGCTGATGGTGATGGTGACCATCATGCTGTTGATGCTGTCGTTGAGTGTGATGATGATGATGGTGATATGGCTGATTTTGACGATGTTGATGCTGATGATGATGCTGATGATGATGATGATGATGGTGATGCTGATGATGATGACGATGATGGTGATGCTGATGTTGCTGAACATGAAGACGAGACTGGTGATGATTATGCTGATGATGAGGCGGCTGATGCTGCTGATGCTGATGATGATGCTGATGCTGCTGATGCTGATGCTGATGCTGATGCTGATGCTGATGCTGATGCTGATGCTGATGCTGCTGATGATGCTGATGCTGATGCTGCTGCTGACGATGATGATATGCTGCTGATGATGGTGATGATGTTGATGATGATGATGATGATGATGATGATGATGATGATGATGCTGCTAGTGCTGATGATGATGATGCTCATGCTGATGTCAATGCTGATGCTGATGTCGATGATAATGATGGTGCTGATGATGTTGACGATGATACTGATGATGATGCTGACGATGATGGTTAGGACGATGCTGGTGATGATGAGGTTGGTTATGATGTCGATGTTGGTGATGATGCTGTTGTTGTTGTTGTTGTTGATGGTGCTGTTGATGATGATGATGATGATGATGATGATGATGATGATGATGATGATGATGATGATGATGATGATGATGCTGATACTGATGCTGATGCTGATGCTGGTGATGACGATGAGGACAATGCTGATGGCACTGATGATGCTGCTGCTGCTGCTGATGATGATGATGATGATGATGATGCTGATGTTGATGATGCTGCTGATGCTGATGCTGATGCTGATGCGTATGATGACGCGTCTGATGCCGGTGATGATGCTGCTGCTGATGATGCTGCTGCTGATGATGTTGATTATGGTGATACTGCTGATGCTGATGCTGAGTTTGATGATGATGATGCTGCTGATACTGCTGATGCTGCTGACGCTGATGGTGATGATGCTGATGGATGAGGATGCGGATGTGGATGAGAATGATGATGAGGATGCGGACGAGGAAGAGGAGGAGGAGGAGGAGGAGGACGACGACGGTGATGCCACAGCCGATGCCGATGACGATGAGGACGAGGATGAGGATGCTGTTGCTTCTGCTGGTGATGATGATGAGTAGATGGAGGAGGAGGAGGGAAGGAGGAGGATGAGGAGGAGGAGGAGAGGCAGGAGAAGCAGGAGGAGGAGGCGGAGGAGGAGGCGGAGGAGGAGTAGGGAGGAGGACCAGGCGGAGGAGGAGGATGATGATGATGATGAGGAGGAGGAGGAGGAAGAGAGAGGAGGGAGGAGGGAGGAGGGAGGAGGCGAAGGCGCAGGAGGAGGAGGAGGAGCAGGAGGAGGAGGAGGGGGAGGAGGAGGAGGAGGAGGAGGAGGAGGAGGAGGAGGAGGATGAAGAGTAGGAAAACGAGGAGGAGGAGGAGGAGGAGGAGGAGGAGGAAGGCGAGGCGGAGGAGCATGAAGAGAAGGACGGTGATGATGCGGCTGCTGCTGATGCTGATGATGATCATGATGCTGATGATGATGCTGCTGATGCTGATGATGATGCTGCTCATGCTGATGCTGCTGATGATGCTGTTGATGCTGCTGATGCTGATGCTGATGCTGATGCTGCTGGTGATGCTGATGGTGCTGATTCTGACTATGCTGCTGCTGTTGATGATGCTGTTGTTGATGATGACGACGATGCTGCTTATGCTGATGCTGATGACGATGCTGATGCTGCGGATGATGCTGATGGTGATGCTGCTGCTTCGAATGCTGACGATGATGATGATGCTGATGAGGATGCTGCTGCTGCTGCGGATGATGATGCTGCTGATGATGCTGATGATGCTGATGATATGGATGCTGACGACGATGACGACGCTAATTATGATGATGATGCGGATGATAATACTGATGCGTATGACGATGATGACGATGCCGATGCTGATGACGATGATGATGATGCTGACGATGATGCTGCTGCTGATGATGATGATGATGATGATGCTGCTTCTGATGCTGCTGATGTTGATGCTGCTGTTGCTGATGATGATGCTGCTGATGCCGATGCTGCTGCTGATGATAATGATGCTGATGCTGCTGCTGCTGATGATGATGATGATGCTGCTGCTGATGGTGATGCTGATGATGATGATGATGATGATGATGCTGCTGCTGCTGATGATGATGATGATGCTGATGATGATGATGATGATGATGATGATGCTGATGATGCTGATGATGAGGAGGAGGAGGATGAGCAGGAGGAGGAGCAGGAGGAGGTGGAGGAGGAGGAGGATGAGCAGTGTATACCCCAAACCCATCAACAATGTTGTAATACACCCTCCCTCCAAGCTCCCTCTTCATATGCTCCACATCAGGAGTCATTTCCACTGAGAGAAGTGCCCCGTTGGGAGGCGACCGTTTGAAGATCCTGAAGCGTGCCAAACCACCGTTCTCGGGACCCCAACGCAACGAGTCAACGTGCTTGTTGCGTCTTCACAATCCTGAACCGTGCCAGGATCCGTCTGGAGGCTTTTTGGACCAGCTTGGGGCCCCCCTTGGGATCATTTTGTGGGATTCTAGAGCTCTGTCGGGGACCTCTTGAGACCTTTCTGGGGGCCTTGGATGCCCTCTTGATGCCATCTCGGGGGATATCGACCCTCTGGATCCCGAGAAGTCGCCTCATGGGGGCTCTCTTGTGCCGCTCTGGGGGCGCTCCTGGGCGCTCTTGCGATCGTCTTGGCCGTCGTGGCGTCATTTTGGAGCCTCTGAGGCCCTCTTGGGGCTCTCTCGGGGCACTTTCGGGAGCCTCTTTGGGCTATCTTGGAGGACATCGATCACATTAGGGGGTTCCCTTGGCAGCGTCTCCGCTCGAGAGCCCCTAAAATCGCCTTTTG